TGCCTAATCCTGACTCGTCCTTTAAAGGAATCTTCCACGGAAAGAGTGATCATTTTGTCTTGTGTGTAGGATTAGTATTATCGAAACTAACGCTTATGTTCCGTTCTTTTTGCTATGCTCATGAGGCTAGGGGCCTAAGGGGTATCGTTTTTCTGTGGTAATGGAGGCGGAGCTTTTTCCGCGGAAGATTCCTTTAAGACTTTATTATTCCAAAGCCTTTTTTCATAATCAGTCTTTCATTCAGTACTGGGGTAACTGTTTGAAGATGGTCTTTATACTGGATTCACAGTTTCCACTCTGCAGCGTGGTGGAACTTTTTAATAAGTCAGATCGTGTCGGTTGCAGAACGAGCACGAGAAAATCCTATTCCTCAATCCTGGTAGAAATTCCAACGAAAATCTGAAAATTTGAGAACGATGAATGCTGGATATTATTTAATTTAAACAACCGTCATCTAACTCACATGGATATTTCTTCAAGCTTTTTAATTAGAAACGATTGCTTAAATACTGGAATGAGAGCCAATGGATTCTCATAATATTGTAGTATCGTGCACTGGAGCCCGCGTATGTTTTACATTTTGCAGACCTCCGTAAGCAAGTTGTATAACTTATTCAACAACTCTGTATGAAAATCTGATTAAATGATTCAAGAGAGGAGTCTTTGGCTAGCAATTTATTGAGAATTTATTAGGCTCAATTTTTTCTTGTCAAGATAAAATAAGCAATATTCATAGGAGTTTATCAAGTCAGTTTATGATTCTTACTATTGTAATTGCAGCTTATGCAACAACTCGAGGCTGTGAAAATGCACTTGGCGAGCAGTGGTCTGTCGTTAGGAGGACTTGTCACGCCTCAACTTGCTCCACCGAATGAGTTTAGCGAGGGAGTACTGAGGGCAGCGCTCCAGAACAGCCAACCGCATAATATGTTTGTCGTGAGTTTCATCCGCTCTTATTAATAGCTTCTACGATGAGCTTGTTTTACGCATGCATTGTTTTTGGATTTTTCTACTTGTTTTTTTTTTCGAGAATTTGTGAGTCCACGCGCCAAAACTTGCACTTACCTAACAACGGACGGCAGCGTGAAGCGTGCGCGTCCTTCTTTTCATGCCACGTCGGGCATTGTGACGCGCTGTTGCGCATCCCACCCATGTCATTTCATTTTAAATAAAAAAATCGTATAGATTAATATAAACTTTTAGCATAGTAAATCCGGTTTCTCTAGGCACACTGTAAAAAAATTTTTTGATGTTCATTGCGAGAAAGAAACCAGAGAAATTAAATTTTTCACTTGCAGTGCACGTCCTTCTCATCGGAATATCACCGCTATACCCCCTGATAAACTTTTATGCGTTTAATATTGCTGAAATTGTTTTTTGCCATTCATATTTTGCATAGTTTTCCTTCAAAATTTATAGATGTGAGGTGAGGCAGCCATGTCGCAAAATCGCCTGTCCTATGTATGTGTCCAAAAGAAACGCGCGCTGTCGTCACCGTGTTAGTCCGTGCCGTCCAAACTGTTCACATTTCTGCTATCGTTTATGCTTTTTGCCTATTGGGACTGGGCTCGCATTGCAACGGGCGATGACTATTCATTGTTTCACTAGACACCGTAGAAGAGAGCAGCAGTGTGAGCGCTTCAAACAGCCCTGGACTGCCAAATGTGAGGATAGTGAATCAACGGCTTGCTTGTAATTTGACTACGCGTTCCCTACGCTTTCTGGCGACCCTTCTCCTCGCAGGTTGCGTGTCGTCCACATTAGTTCTGGTCATTTTCCAAAACTCAACGGAACTACTGTAGTGTGGGTGGGGAGGACAAACGGGCAGCATGCAGTTCAGCGCGCTACTCGATGACTCCTCTTGATCAGGATAGTGAGAACTCGCACTTTTTACTTTTTCGCCCATCAAAACCCTGAGCTGGCTACATTGCACTGGCTCTGTTATTCCTCTTTTTGTACAATATTCTTATCACTACTTCGCTGAGAAGCTGCAGAGGAACCGTGCGCCGCGCCCCTGACTGTCCGTTCCCCTCATGCTGCAGTAGCACCCTTGTTCACTTCATCCTTAAGATTTGTGGACGAATTTTCTGCTTGATTCCAATCTTTGATCTTATCCGATGGGATGCTCCAATGATGCCCTAGCCCCATGTAATGCTGTTTTGAGGCGTACTAATCTGTGCAGTGATTTCTTTGGTTTGTTGAAAGAGGGTCGAAAAACTGGATATACCTAATCTTGTCAGGTGGGACTCCAAGGTTGATAGGCAATGCGCATTTTGCAGCGAACAGTATGGCCCCAGCGGCCTAGCAGGGTCATACTTACGCCGCTCGCACCGCTGCCTTCGCCAACTAACTCTGGCCGTTCAGCAGAGAGAAAGAGAGTTTGCCTTCTACAGGGCGCTAGTGATCAGAGCTGTATCGCTGCGGAAATCAAGGGCGAGGAAGCGGTCCCATTTATCAGGTTCTGGGCGGTCAGTCATGGTTCTCTTCATTCCTGCACCATCGACCTACCTCTACCTTGATTTCTAATGGGCTGTCTTTCTACGTAAACTCTGCCTTCAAAGGCAAGCCTCGGGATAAAACCGGTGATAAGAGCGCTTCGTAATGATGACTGAGCTGCGGGACGGCCTGAAAGTGGAAAGGAAAGCTAGAGAAATCTTTGGGATCGCTGAAATTAAGGCCTTAACCTTCAAAAAGGTGGACGATGGCGAGGCAGGGCGGTCAAAGAAGACAAAATACGCGAGAGAGCACGCCGTTCGAGAGAGCACGCGAGTGAAGGTGGTGGAAGCGTTTGCAACGTGTCCAGTTACAGGTCCCTAACGGTAGCTGTCTAACCAGCAACTTTTTAGTGAGGCTGTAGTGGTCTAGGTAGGATAGGGCTTACAGCTTCCTCGCGGTGTCCTTACATACAATCTATATCTAATCTCGGGTTGCTTCAAGGTATGCGCAGTTGGTACCCCGTACTCGGAAGGCGAGGGATGCGGGTTTGAATCTCGTTTGAGGCGAAGTTTTTGCAGATAACTCGGTCTCTCTGTGTTGTGCGATCCTCGCTCTCATCTACGTTAATAAAATGGGTTGGGGCTTTCTGGAGGTTGAGGATTTCCATGGGAGTGTACGATTCAGCTGTTTTTTAGCGACTCAAACGCCATTCTCCATTTTTGTTTATTTATTCCATTTTGAAGTGAAAGTTTTAGCTGGACGACGCCATCGCACCAGCATGCGCTCGTTGTGGTCGTGATCGTTCAAGAGCGGATAGTCGTCCTGGTTGTCCGCTGTGTTCTACGTAGTCTGACAGGAAGTCGACAAAATGCATACGAGAGATTCAATGTGCAGACAGAGTGACAACTTCCTGTACACGCGGTGTAGCGATAGCTGAGAAGCCAAGAAGAACGAAGTGTATTTAGCAACGTAGAACTCTGGCAATTCTTTTACAAAAAGCAGCAACGCAATCCCTATCAGAGGGTAGTTTCTATCGTCTACTACTATATAGTATCATGCATTATCTATGCGAGCGTGTGTGAACAGAGTTGTTTAGATGCACTGGAACACTAGAAAAGCGATGTCGTTCTATCGTCTTCATTGTTTCATTTGTATTTGTTGCGCTAGTGAAAATATGTATATGTCATTTCAACGATCTTTAGAAACGTCTTTATGATTTTAACGCTTCGCATAGAAGAGGAGGAGGACCATCTCATAGGTCCAAGTGTCATTTTTCTCATTCCCTCATCCTTAAGTAATATCCGTCTTACATTACGGATGCTTGATAATGTACGTTTTCAACTCTAGGAACCACTAACGATGAATTTCACAGTTGCTGTTGATATTTCTGGCTAATTGGTATACTTGCCTCAGTGGAAAACAAACCCCGTTATAACCGTGTTTTCGTCCTTTTATTCCCCTTTTGTCTCCCTCTCTCTCCCTCCGGAACGACGTTTTATCTATCTGTAATTGTTTGTACAGCTAATTAGCATTTCAATATGTGTACGTTTTATGTGGGTGATTAGGACTTTTGCATAACGTTTGAAACGATGACGGTTTTTCATTGAGGCTTGCGGACCCTGTTCGGGTGTTTTAGTCTCTGTCCCCCTGCCTCGGTGCCGCTACTCCTCTTTGAGGCTCCATCGATACAATATCATAGAGCTGCTTTTATTCTGTTCTATTTCCTAGCAATTTCTTGTTGAACGACCTGATGTGGTCGCGAGTCAGTGTTTGACAGTTAGGCAGGCTTTTTTTTCGTATATTTATGCAATTGTTATTTTTGTAGATCGGAAATTGATTTCTGGGCGACCTCTGATTATCACATACTATCTACTGTCCAGGCTCTGCTGAGCAGATCATTTCAGTGTCAAATTGTTAGTGCAATTGCATTCAGCTCGAAACCGTTGGAGGATCTTGGAAATGTACATCGCCTGAGAGGGTTACTTATGATTGATGGAAATTATACGCAACAGTATTCAAGAGTATGTCCTGTTGAGTCACCGCGCCACGTCCCACTTTCAACAAAATTTTGCGCCTGTCTCGTTGTTGCCGTACCGTCTACCAATGATTTTGAGAAAAAGTGTTTTCGCTCATCATGGAACGCTGCACATGTCAGAGCTGCGTTGCGCGATATGGGCAGCGGTAGTGCGACGTCGCGCAGTGACTTCTTGCGGCACACTCTTTTTGATAGTATTTTCTGCAAATACGAGTTGAGAAATTTTTCGTGCTGAGTGCAGTTGGAAATTCCGGTGTCTGTTTAACAAGCCTTTATAATCCCGTTCTCGCCATTTTGATGTACTTCCTCTTGTTTTACAGCGTGTTCTTTTTCTTCCATAGAGCAAATGCTGACTCCGACAACGGCGACCTTTGCGGTTTTATGGAAGTTCAAAATGGACTTTCGTTGAAAGGCAGTAAATGAATGAAATCACAGTCATGGGTTGTTAGAAACGCAAAGGGTGATTTCGAACCGGTTAGAGTCATTCACTCACGGCGTTCTGTTTATTTATATTTTATGAAATTCACAATTTTGCAACTTTAGTAATCATTGATGATGTGTTGATTTATGTGTTATTTTTGTATGTAGCTACTATACATATTATGTAAGAAATTCACATGACTGCGTTATGTTTTTGTATGGTCTGAGGAGAAAACTGCAATGTTGTAAGTTACTACTTTCCAACTAACTTTCTGTACTTGTCTCTTTTCACAGTCAATTTAAAAACATGAGCGTTCATCGATTTGTTTGTTTTCATTCTTACATCGCGAGTCCTTCCTCCTGTAAGAATTCGCTAGAATATCACATTTATGCGCTGCTTAGTACTTGTTCAATAAAATTAGTTGAAATCGAAATGTTGTAGTAACAGTTGAAAAGCGATTGTTGCTTGACGAAGGTATGATTCAGACCTTAAACAGTAGCCCTTTAATTTGGTTGAGAGGAGAGGGTTATATAGCGCAACAAGATCAACATTCGAGATTCGAACTTTATCTGCTCTGATGTGCACTGTAGCCAGGTTCCAAAATAATCGAGCTGATAAAAGCTCAAATTTCTCTCTTTTCGGTCCAATGTCTTGGCCTACCCTATGCCCACGCCTATCCATGCCAGTCTATCTACGCCTCTGTCACTACGCACCTTGCCATGGGCGGAAAAAACCTGGAAAACGGATTCCTACCGAGTGTCCTACCGTCGCTCTTACTCAGATCGACATCTCAAGCATCTAGCACTACTTGATCGTGAAATCACTCATACTGGGGTGGTGAACAGGGTGAAAATCGTGTCGAGGACGTGGTCGCAGAAGTACGACCCCCCCCCCTGAAATCGAGGTCCTTGGCACGACCCCCTAAAACAGAGCATACGCAATTAATTAATAAAACTTCATCTTGTCATCTATGCACTGTCTTTCATCGCTGCACACTTTTGTGTATTTACTGAAATATCGACTCGAGGAAAGAGGCATTAACTTTGTGTGACCTCAAAGGCAGGTTCGTTCAGAAATGCACAGAAATCCTGAAGGCACGGGTTGCGATTCAATCTTAATTCCTGCTTGAGTATATCAAAACAGCCGAGTGTATCGATTCAACGGCAGCTGCGGCGCGATTGTCACTGGGTCAGATTTGCTGAAATCCCGAAAAAAAAAACGTCGAAATCTACACCCTCGATGAAAAGGTTCCATTCCTCCATTTCCCAACCTTTTGAACAGCACGCGGTAGGGTTAGATAGAGCTGGATTTGCTACTATCAGGCAGTATTGGAATTGCTATGAAAGCCTTCCATTCGAAGAGATATAGTCTCTCAAAATCCGTCGAGGGAGCGTCGAGGATGCTGGAATTTTTTGCGAGTTTTTGCCACTTAAAAGGCAATATCTCTCTAATTTCGCAAGATCTTGGAAAACGAAGACAGTTTTGGAAAGCGGAAGGTTTGCGCTTTCTAACAGTATGTTTAGCTTCCTTCTACATTTCTAGTTGAGGAGATATTTGCGTCGAGGATCTATCGAGGATGATTCTCGGCCGCTCAAAAAACCGCTCCCTTCTTCACCATTGCAAGTGTAATTCGTTGGCAACGCTCGAAATGTGTCTAGAATACATTCTTTCAACATAAGCAATAAGAAAAGGGCAATCATCATCCGATCTCGTCTCAGTATAGGCCATGCATCCGACCTCCACTCAAGTTGTAGAATCTATTGAAAGGTGTTATACATATGATGATGACCTGTTGACAGAAAGTGTAACACATCTCGTAACTCCTGTAACCTAAGGAACAGCTTCATTTGTCCAAGGCCTTCTAAAACTATTGTCGTTTTTGCGACAGCGTCCCTAACAACAGTGCTATTCTCAACGAGGTATTAAGGGCGAGGGAGCGGGCGGCATATAAAGGAGGTGCCTTTGCAGCGCGTGTGCACATGTGGCCCCGTTCCTTGCGGAGATGCACTTTCATTCTTTGTACTGCTTTCAAATACCCTTCTCATGAAGGTAGAGGAATGGAGCGACTGAACCTGCAAAGAATATTTTATATCATGTTTTTCACATATCTTCGTTTTCTGCTGCGCTACACCCTCTTACTCCTCTGCACCACTGATGTTACTGACCCCCACGGTACGACACCCATGACCCAGCCTGATAAGTACGACCCCGACCGATATTCACTCTGGTGGTGAATATTAGGTTGTTCCTGGGATCCATTATTCTGCTTCGCCCTACAGTGCGTACCAAAAGTATGTGGACACCCTGGAATCGATTCTCAGGGGTCAGCTAAAGGCTTTTATGTCATGAAACCTTCCACCATTCAACTCCTAGTGGTCGATAACCTACAATGATATTTTCGGCAAAAGATTTCGTTCTAACTTAGCGAACTATTTTTCATGGAAAGTTTTTTCTTTGTATCAAAATTATGTGGACACTTTTTGAAAAACGGCAATATCTTCAGAATCTGAAATCGGTAGGCCTACCAAAGTTTCTAGTAAGTTGAGCCATTCTGTTTGGCATGCTATGAACGGGTCTGGATACATGTCTTGCAGATCTGTTCCCAACTAGCAAATTTCACCGACGTGTTAGGTCACTTGTGATATTACTCTTTACCGTCTGCGTTTTAAATAAGGATAAGGTCTGAGGATACGCTAGCCGACTTATCAATCACAAGCCGTTGCAGTTTAGCATTATTCAGCATTTTTCCAAATGGAATGGTGTCAGGGACCTCCCCTGCAAAACAAGTGATTTGCGACATGACTTTTCGAAAAAGGTTGTAGCCGGGACTCAAGCACCTCATTATAATCCTAGTTGTCTACCTGACATGTTGGCAAGCCAAACTTCAATGTCCCCCTCCTTTTGGAACCACCCCAGACCTTTGATGAACATCTTCCGAATTGTCTCTTCGAGCACATCTGCGGGTCCGACCAAAGTCTCTCCAAAAACCTCAAGACCCACCCGAATAGTAAGGAATAAGCTTCTTTCTGCCCAGTCGAGTTGGTCTATGAGAGAAATTTCCACAGAAAGTCTTTTATACTAATTTTACCATTTCCACGAAAGCACTGTCTGTGTGGGTTCAAAGTATCATGTTGTGATCCTTTTTTGAGTGGGAATTCCAACCTTGCCAACCTGAACCCGCATTCATATACAAAGCCTTCTTCATCTTCTTTCGTGTCGTGTGCTCAATTGATTGAATGAGACACCGATTGGTCTTTTTTAAGATCGGGAAGATCATTTATGCGTAAAGTTGAGTAGTACGAAAAGAATAATTTTGAGAAAATTAAGGCTATTCTTCTCCTGTTTTGAACAAGTAGCGATTGAGAACAACCCTCAGTCAAGGTCGAGAGCTT